GATCAGGCAACTTACTTTGGTTACTATGGTTCCACTTGGTCTAAAAAACGTCGCCAAATTCATGCTTTGAATCTGCAAGGCAAGGACGGCTTTACCATGCCTGTTTCTGGTTCGCGTCGGCTAGCGTCCCACAAGTGCAGCTCGGATGTCTCAACAACAGCTCACTTTGGGTTCTTGGGTTGTTCTACTGACTTGGCTTGCAACCCTCCTGGTCTTAAGGTTTTTCTTAGAAGTAAGCGGAAGGCAGGAGAGTCTAGCACTGCTTCCTCTCACATGTTTGTCAAGGTTTCGAAGGATGGGTTTTCTTCTTAGAATTTCAACAATGGTATTAGTGCTACCTCACCGAGTATGGCTTCAGGGTTCTCGGGCACCTTTTCTTCGGCAGGTGGCCCTTCACAGCCCCTGAAGGTTTTATGAATATCACATCATGGAATTGTCGGGGACTAAACGACCAAACTACTCCTAAGATCCCCTACGTGTTTTAATTATTACACTCTTTTGCTCCTAAATTTTTTATTTCTATGTGAAACTAAAGTTTCTGTTTTAGTTGTGATTAGCTTGCTTAGTTTTTCTAGTCCTACTTCGGTTTTTGGGATTGACTTGGTAGGTACTAGCGGAGGTTTAGTGGTTTTTGGGTTTGGTTCGGAAGAAGTTTCTTGCGTTTTTTGTTGTACAAATGGTGTACTCTGTAACATAAAAGTTAGTAATGAAATTAGTAAATGTGTGATGTTTGTTTATGGTGCCCCTGTTCTTGAAGATAGACCTTAGGTATGGCGTTTGATTCTTGATTTACTTTCTATAGCTCCTAATTGTTTGATTATTAGTGATATTAATCAAATAGTGCACCACTACAATAGATTGGGTGGGTCAAATGTCATTAAGGGGTGGGATTCCTTTCTAAATTTTAGACTTAACTCTAGTTTACTGGCTACACCCTTTAAAGGGCCTCCTTATACTTGGACAAATAATAGGGAGGCAGGTCAGCTCATTTTACAGCGTTTAGATCGCTCGTATATGACCTTTGATTGGTTTCATAACTATCCAGATTGTCGGTTATTCAATCAACCGATCCTCATTTCTGATTATGCTGCTATTTTCGTTGACGACTCTGCTGTTAAACGGCAGTCAAACCGTCCATATCAGTTGGATAACTGGTGTCCTCACTACGAGGAAATCCATGACTTTGTCTGTAATACTTGGTAGAGAAGCATCTCTGGCTCTCCTATGTTCATTCTCTCCAAGAATTTAGAACATGTTAAGGCATTGGTTCGGACTTGGTGTGTCGACAATAAGAAATTTTGGGGTGTTCATTGGAAAAATTTCTCAAAGGATCTTTCTAATGAGGGTGAGTAATACAGTTGGTTACAGATGCCTCTCTTTATATATATGGCTAATATAGTGACTTCAAAGGAGAATATTTTGTTGCAACTACAATTTTGGCGACAACATTGCAAGAAAAATTGGATACTCAAAGGGGATTGCCCTTCTAAACTCCTATTTTCTAAGGTCAAAAGTAGCAGAAAAAGAATGAGATTTTCTCTTTACTTGATGATCAAGGTGTCATCCAACATGGTCAGACGGACGTTCAGCTTGTTATTGTGGAATCGCTAAAGAAGACCTTTAAGAGTGATGCTATGCCTCCGTATGACCCGGAAATTGATATGGTCCTGTGGGAATTAGATATTCCTTGTTTCATTCCCTCTCAGCTCATTAATTTGGATCGTCCCTTCTTAGCTTCAGAAATTCGAAATGCTATGTTTGCCTTGGGCATGCAACTGTAATTCTTCGGGCTCGGATGGAATTACTGTTGAATTTTTCAAAATTCACTGGGATGTTGTTGGAGAATCGGTTGTTTCAGGCATTCAAAGTTTCTTTTAGACATGGTTCTCCTGAAGGAATGGAATCAGTCTCTTCAGTCATGATTCCTAAGATTGGTACTCCAACAGAGATGGGCCATTTATGACGGATTAGCCTTTGTAATACTATTAACAAGTGTGCCTCCAAATGCTTGGTGGCCAGACTGTGCAGTATCTTCTTCTTTTTGTTTCAGATTCTCATCATGCCTTTGTTCAAGGACGCGTGATGACATATTATATCTTGTTGAGCCATTAATTAATGGAGAAAATGAGTTATTCTACATTAGGTACTAATTGGCTTGCTTCGCTTAAAATTAATGAGCAAAGCTTATGACAGAATTCACTGGAGTTTTCTTTTGCGAATCTTGAGAGCCTATGGGTTTCCGGATATTTGGTTACAAATGATTCAACAATGTCTCTTGACGGTTTCTTATAAGTCCCTTGTCAATGGTACTAACTCTGTCGCCTTTAAACCACAATGTGGTCTTCGTCTAGGTGATCCTCTCCCTCTCCGTTCCTTTTCCTTTTCTGCATGGATATCTTGTCTCGTATGCTACACCTAGGGAAAGATCTAAAATTGTTTCAAGGAATCAAGTTGTCTAGATCGAGTCCATCTATCTCGCATCTATTCTTTGCAGATGATGCTCTTATCTTTTTTCAGGCAACTAATCTTTCGTGTACTAATATTGTGCAGATCATTCAACGGTTTACTAAGATTTTGGGGGAGGAACTTAACCTTTCAAAATCCTTGATTAAGTTTAGCCTGAATGTCTTTCCTCCTACCCAAGAGAGCTTCAAATTTATATTCCAAATGAAGCATGTTAAGGTGTTCAATCACCATTTGGGAGCTCCATTTGATTTTGTCGAAAAAAAGAAGGACCACTTCCAACTTATCATCGACAAAATTATTGGAAGAATTAATTGCTTACACGTTATACGACTTTCTCAATCTCCAAAGTTAATTTTTATTAACTCGATTCTGGTAGCTATGACGTCACATGTTCTTGCTTGCTATGAGCTTCCGATCTCTGTCATAGGGAAAATCGATTCTTTACTAATGCGCTTCTTCTGGGCGCATTCTGATTCTAAGGGTATGCACTAGGTTAATAAGGATACCATGCATCTCCCTCGTGGTATGGGTGGCTTGTGAATTCGTTGTTTATCCTCCTTAAACAAGGTGTTCCTAATGAAGCAGGTATGGAGATTTGTTACAAACCCACAACTACAAGTTTCTAAAGTTTTCGGTGCGCGCACTTCCTTTCTTTCCAACAATTCTAACAACCGATCCAGGGTTTCTAGTTGCCACTCTTTTACAACAGGGCTACAACTGGAAAATATCTAGGTAATGGACGCTCTACTCTGGCCAGCTCGGCTAATTGGGTCAATGGTTGCATTCCAGAGTTCAAGCCCGGTATTTCACTAAACACTACAGGAGATCGTACTGTTAGTTTTCTCATCCATCCTCACACAAATGGGTGGGACACTAAAAAAATTGTCGATTGGTTTGTTCTTGCGGATGCTTCTATAATTTTAGCCATGGAGTTACCGGATACGACAAAAGAAGACTTCCGTGATTGGGTGTGAAGACAGGTTATGCTATGCTTCAACAACAACTTCCTTCTACTTCTGCGCAACCTAGTTCAGGAAACTTCTCGAAATTGCTATGGTCGCTCCAATTACAACCTAAATGGAAGCTGTTTTTACGGAAACCGCTACATCGTGCTCTCGCAGTTAAGGTGGAACTTCATCACCGGGGTGTGCCGATTCAAAATGTGTTTTGTGATCTTTGTAGTTCAGCACCAGAGGATTTACAATATCTATTTAGGATGTGCGTTTGTGCACGAACAGTTTGGAGGGGTGGATGCCTCGGCATTCGCTCAGAATTTAATGGAGACTTTTCTCTCTCAGATTGGATCCAAGATTATATCCGACTTTTTATTAGTCGGGATGGGACTTCTAATACTTACTTAGGTACCTTAGTTGGTACACTTTGGAGTCTTTGGTTATGTAGGAATTCCAGAATCTTTAGGGCTTCTACTACTACACGGTCCTTTTCCTCGCAGTTTGCGAAGGTTATGGAATCACATACGGTTTTTCTTACGCCGAATGCTTCTGGCAGCAACCTCTCTGTGGCGGCGGCTGATGGTGGTGCCTCTCCCCCACCAGGGTTTTATATAGCTCATCTTGGATTACTCAACCAAGGGACTGCTTTATGCTCTTTACAGGTACATGACTCTTGGTTCAAAGATACTCAACGTGCTGGGATGGGCTGGTGCTTAGATAATGATGACTCGTTGGATGAACGAATCATTGGCGGAAGTAACTTCGAGGTTTGTACTTCAGCTTTACATGCGAAGGCGATGGCTTGCATGTATGGGCTACAATGGGCTTCTGATCGGGGGTTTCATTCCATCACGATCGTTACAGATTCCTATAATCTTATTACATACCCTTCTTAGGAGGGGGGGTGGTCAAGGAAACATTGATTACCTTTGGCTCATTTGCAAGATTAAACGACTTGGCGAAACCTTCCAGTACTATAATGTTCACAAGACATATCGTCAACATGTTCATCGTGCTCATTAAATCGCTGCAGAAGCTACTGTTCATTTAATTTGCTTTAGTTTTAATGTGTAGTGTGTTTTATCCTTTGTAAAAAAATTAAAAAAAAATAAGAAAAAATAATAAAATTTACCTTTGATTTAGTTTTTACACCGTACAATTTTCATGTGTGGAAGTTGTATTTACACTTAATATTTTATATTAAAGCTTCCATTATTTTTTTAATATATATTATTTTAATTTCCACGTACTACTTCTAGACTCACATTTTTTTGTCTATATAACTCACATTTTTAATTATTTATGACTATACTACTCACATTCTTTTGTATTTTGTAAAATATCATGGTGTGCATGCTTTCAATTTGTAGCTGGATCCACTCTTACATGAGATTAGATAATATCTTATCTTCTCTATAAATACACCACCCCCCCTCCATACATTTCAAATAATCATCGCACGCATTTAACTAAGCACTCCTAAATTTATCTAAAGCTCCAAATTAACACATCTAATCAAAGTATTTAATTCTCCTAGTTATTATCCAAAAGAAGAAAAACAAACAATCAAAATAGGTAGCTATGGCAAATTCCAAGCTTTTCCTTGCTACATTTGTGCTTGCTTTCCTTGTTCTTAACATGGTTGAAGCTAAAGAAATGGTAAATAAATTTTTATAGTTTAATACAAACTCCTTTTATTTTCCTTTGTTTTTAAAATAATCATATCTTTTATTATTCATGTAAGCAAATTAATTTTTGATTGCCTTTGGTATTTCATATACTACGTACATAAGTATTAGAAAATGAAAATGTTAGACATGCATGTAACCGGTTGTTTTATAACATGTACCTTATGTTTCCACAAATTTTTATTTTAAGATAATTTACACCGCAATCTCAACTCACACACACAAATATATCGAGAGTTTTTTTTCGTATTTTATTTATAAAAAATTTGTGCTACATTTTACTTTCTTTTAAGATATTAAGGTACAAGTAATAAATTTGTAAGGTAAACATCATTGAGTTATACTTCCTCCTTTCTAATAATATTGCAACAATCGGACTTTTGCACTATTTCTCATGCTTGTAACTTGTAGCTTGTTTGACCACAAATTATGATTTATACGTAAAGTAAAATATAGTCATGTGGGGCCTTGTTAGATTCGTTTCGTAAAATACTTTCACAATATTAACTTTTTATAATTTTTACTCTTATGTAATTATAGATATTTAACATATAAAATGTATTTTGAGATGCGTAATTTCATCCTTGTAATATTTGTGGAACAAAGAAAGTAATAATTATTAAAAAAAAAAATATAAATATGCTATATACGAAAATGTACCTTATATATTTATGGCAAGCACATTGTGTAATTCTCACCTTAAAAATAGTTTTCATTAATTGAAGCAATAATTCATTAATTTTTCATTCAATAAGTACTCTATGAACTTGAAATCAGATCATGATATTATAGTAACCATATATACTAATTGTCACTAAGAGTGAGGGATAGCTCAGAGGGTTAGATCTTCCCTCTCGATTCTAGGATATCCTAGGATCGATTCTCATCAACTGCCCTTGTGCCTCTCTAAACAAAAAAGCCCAAACTAATTGTCACTAGATCGAACTAAAGGTGAGAAAAAAAAAATCCTAGGAAACTATATAACCAAATAATGTTAATGTTAAGCGAATGTGTGGATAAGGAGACCATCTATCTTGTCAAAAAAAAAAAAAAAAAAAAAAAAAAAAAAAAAAAAAAAAAAAAAAAAAAAAAACCTCTAAGCCTACAATGCCCAAGGTCTAATTTGAGGGGTAAACCAGTCAAGTCTGTCCAGGTTAATTAGGAGCAAGGTCCCTTAAGAATAGGAGAAAGGGTAAGAAAATCCTCTAGATCTAGTGGGGATTAATCACACAACCTTATAAACACCCTTGGTTTTATCCCTACTATATGGCCCTAACTAGTTTATATTGTTATTGACCCTATTGTAGTATATTGTTGTTTCATCAAGAAATGGCTAATCAAACTTGAAACTTATTATGACACTTTATCTTCTTAATGTGCAGATTGAGAGTAACAATTTTCAGAGGTCTCTCCTTCGTATAGGTAAGTAATTATAATAAGTTGTTATGATTATTTATTAGTGGAGTGCTAAATAGTAGACACAGCCGTATTTTCTTAACACAGATCTAGTACCTCATTTTAATAATTCATTAAAATAACATATTCCCTTTCTTCTTCCTGTAAAGAAGCTCCCTCAATTTCAAAATTAATGTATCTTTTACAATTTTGCATTATTTATATAATAACTTTGACTATATATTGTTTTGCTAATATATACAATAGGTTATTTGCATTTTCACTCCATTTTGTTTTGGCAAACCCCATTTAGTACGCTACCTCTCTTATTCCTTTATTCATTTTTTTCTTACACTCACTTACCTTATTACACTTTCTTTCTTGATTAAAGTGGACTTTCAATAACTTATTCTAAGACGGGTTAAAATTACCCTAAAAGTATTTTAAATTTACTTTATATACTACAAAAGTTACCATTTTTCTAACATGAATTTACCTTTAGAAAACACTTATAATGTATTAAATTATTCATATTAGCCTTTACAGCATGTGTTCATTAGAAATTACACTTTAAAATACAATCTAATCCATTACAAATTAAAAGTTATCCTTATAATGATAAAAGTTATATAAAAATTGTTAAAGTTACCCTCAAATTGACCATCTTACAATAAAATTAATGTAATCTCGCTTTATACAGAACTTATTGTTTACTTTATTCATTTTTTTCTTACTCTTATCATAGTAAAAACTATCTTAATTTGTGACTAAAGAATAAATGTTACTCGTAATAACTTTTGATGATGGAGATTGTTGTTGGTTATTTCATATAAGTATACGTGTGCAGATTGTGGAGCAGCGTGCGAAACTAGGTGCAAGTTAAGTAGCAGACCAAATCTATGTCATAGGGCATGTGGTACATGTTGTGCTCGTTGTGGGTGTGTTCCACCGGGTACTTCTGGTAATGAAAAAGTTTGCCCTTGCTATTACAACCAGAGAACCCACGGTGGAGAACACAAGTGCCCTTAAAATTACCTTCTGAATTACAACAACTCAAAATTACATTTCCCCTTAATTGTAATGCTATAAAAGTCTCATTTTTTCGTATGTCGTATACTGAATGTATGTAATTGTATTTGATAGTATCCTACACGTATTTTGTGAATGAATTATTGGATGACGAATAATGTGTTTGCATCCCTTATTCTTTGCTTTCTTGATCAATTAGTGCAAGAAATGTTTATCAAACTTGTGATTGCAACTATTTTATCAAACACTTATAATTTCCTTATTAGAAACTTTTGATTTACAAGAAAAATGAGAAGAAGATATTAGTTTATAAAAGGAATAGTGTCTTTCGAACAAGTGTATTACTCTGATAGAGGGTTCAGAATTAATTAGGAAAGCTAAATATTTAGTGAAGTCAAGTGATCGGAATGCCTAGCTGGAGGCCGCTTCCGATCAATAAGATTAATATATAATTAATCTTACATCTTGCTCTTGACTGAGCCTTGCGGCGGTCACACCCAATCGTGTAACCGAACTAAAGCAACGAATTAATCCGAATGATTAAATACGTCAATAAAGATATTACGAACTCAGACGCGGATTCCGAGCTTAGAGCGTCGAAGCCGAGCGTCAAACGTCAAGTCGATTCTAGGAACTGACGAGACGAAAAAATAAATCAAACAACAAGTCAACACCTAGCCTTAGCCTCGTAATGGCCGTAGCTAGCAGCTAGCCATGCGAGGGCTAGGCTAGGCTAGCCAAGCTGCCATCGCATGGCAATGCTTGGCCGCAAGCCCAACAAGCATCTCAAGGCTTGGTTGGGCGTGTGCTGGCCGAGCAGGTGCATGCAGGCTAGCAAGGCCAGCAGTCAGCAAAGCTCGCTGGGCCTCGCTAGTAATAGCAACGCCCAGTGTACAGCAGCCCGCATTGCTGCGAGGCTTGCTGATGCGGGCCTTCTGGCAGGCCCAACCAAGCACCAAGCCGCCAGCAAGGCGCGCCTTTGTGCCCAAGGCTGGGCACCAGCTAGCGAGATGCTATAAGGCCTGGTTTTGTGAGGGTTTGCTTGGAGAATAAGGGGAGCTTTTGGTCCTCCCCTTATGGCCCTCACCTACCCCTTCTCTTGTGTTGACACTTGTTGATTGCTTATTGCCTTGAGTATTTAATTTAGTTTAGAATTAAATTAAATGCTTGTTTTCTCGCTTTATCACTTCTCCCACATGGAAAGATTAATGTGGGAATTGAGATGTTTTGCCTATAAATACAAACCTTGGGTGTTGGGAAAAATCACTTGAGTATAACTCAAAAAGGCATCTCCAAGTAAACGTGAGAAAACCTTATAGTTTGTAAAACTCATATTCTTGGTTTGGTCTTGTCTAAGCTACGAGATACAACCCTTGTTAGGGCACGTGGGTGTGCAAAGTAGGAGGATCTCACGCGTGCGAGTCTAAGGCTATCAAGGGTCGTGTTCGTGTTCGTGTTCGAGAGGAAGCACGCTTCTAGGGTAAGATGGTCTTTTCCTTCTCTCTTTCACTCTTTCTCTCTTGTGTGTTTATTGCTTTATTAATTATATGCTTAATTAGTTGTAATAATTAATGCATGTGGTCCGGGGCGGGGTTTGGTTCCGCACGGTGTTCGGGACACCGTAAAACCCTACAACGATATCATGAGCCTCTTGTATTTGAGTTTTACTACTAAAATTAATTAAGGGGATTTAAAATAGATTTAAAATCTGGATTAGCAACCTAATTAGATTAGGGTTTCGGTTTTATTGGATAAAATCGGACTAATGCTTGATTATGCTAAAATACCCAAATTTTGATGAAAAAGTAGTGAATTTTGGGTGGAAAGCGCATTCTAAATCAAACTTTACGCACAAAGTGTACAAAAAATGGCTTCCAGTGGCCAAAATCTGCCCAGAAATATGTTTTTCGAGGGTTTTTTTGTTTAGAACGAGAAAATTTTAAATATTTGGACCTTAATTAATTATGGCATATAATGAATGATTATGGCTATAATCTACTGCAATTATACTCCTCTTTGCTTAATTTGGAGTGCTCAATTTTTCACATAAACTTGAATTTTCTTATATTTGCAATTGGATTGCTCAAAAGTGACTTGGTTTATGTTGAATGTGATTAATGACCTCTAAAATAGTTAAAGATTGAATTTTTATTGGATGATTGATTTGCATCTTGACTTGCTAAAACCCTAAATGAACAAATTTTGAGTTTTAATGATTTTGGAAATCGATTTAAAAATCATGTTGTTCATGTTTATGTTTGAAGTTATACTTCATTGGATGGTTGAAATATTCAAACATGGTTAATTCCTAATTCCTAATTGAATAAATTAGTTTTCATTGGATGGTTAATTAATTTATTTGATTAGTTTTGTCAAAGTCATAATTAATTTTAATCATTGGATGATTTAATTTAAATATGTATCATGCCCTTAATTTTTTATTGTATCAAAGTAACCTAAATTATTAAAGAATGGTTCTTGGAAATAATTTTTGGTTATTGCTTATTTTGATTAATTAAGTTGGACTTAATATTAATTCAAAATTTCTCAAAATTTAATTCAAATTGGATTTAGAATTAAATAAGATCGCATGAATTTTTCGGGATTAAAATCTCAAGGCATATCCCTAAAATCGAGGCATTGAACCTCGATGCAACCCTCGGCCAGCAGGGCTGCTCGCACAACCATGTCAATTTGCTGACTGAGAGCTATGGTGCGGGTGTGTGAATTGGAATGTGCGGGAAAATGTATGCAGAAGGGTTGTTATGTGTGTGTGTGGTGCGGCATGCTACGAGGGCAAGGATGTCAGGCAGCGCCTGTTGCTAGCACTAGCAAGCACACTACTAGCACCAGAGGCACGCTAGCATGTTATGCATGTTGTGCGGCTGCTAGTGCTGGCAAGTGCCACGGTGCGCTGCTATGCTTGTGCGGCCAGCACCTGCACACAAGGTTGCTAGGGCTGCTAGGCAACACCCAGCCCGAGCGCTAGCAAATCTGCTCGGCTAGGCAACCTAGCATCACCCGGCTTTTGGCTTGGGAGCTAGGCCTTAGTTTTGACTTGCGTTTTGCGATTTTATTTAAAAACGAGGCTAAGCCTCGGTTTTTCACATGATTGCGTAAGTTTGACGAAATTGACTTGAATCGCTTAATTAAATTTAATTGGTTTAATTAAGATGGATGTGGGTTTTATTGGGAATGTCGTTAATCGGTTTTTGAGCGTTTAAAGCTTTAATTATGCTTAGCTTATAATTGTGTTAGTCCACATAATTGGTTAACAACTCAACTAGTTGTAATTAGGCGTGTTAATCGGATTAACCACCTAAGTTAGTAACTAGTGTGCGTTTGTTTGATACTTGGTTTTCTATTATCGCTCGTATTGTTTGTAAAATATGTATGGGCCATTGACTTTAGAAGTGAATGGGTGATTGGAATATTATAAAAGTTTTTATGCTGGTTTTTTTTTTTTACAAAAAGTGACTAGTATGGCCCAACTAGGATAGAAAATACGAACTGCGTTCCGTTATATATTTTTGTAAATCTAAATACAGACTGCGTGCCGTTAAGTATTTTTGTACTTAGTTTACTTAGATTACTCCTAGTTACTAGTACTTGCATGCTTAATGGTGAAGTCTAAAGACGGCGTATCTTTGAAGATGGAACCAAAAGATGCCAAGATGACCTTGAAGATTGAAGATTGGATGCTTTAAGATATTTTTCAAGGGGTCATGCTAGTTCACTATTGCTTATATATAACTTGATATTTAGATGCATGTTAATTTTAGGATTTCTAATGTTGAATGATTAGTTAAGTTCACTTAAATCAAACCAATATAGAAAGCCTAAGTCCCAAAGAAAATTGAGTTAAAATTGCCATTCCAAAATGATAACTTACTAAAACTTCAAAAATCGGTGATGAGCTATTTCAAAGCATGGCATCATCATTTTCTTGATGATGTGAGGTATAGGCTTTGCCAAAGTATGGAATCACATACACGTCAGTTTTGGTTGTACTCAACAATATCAGTAAGGAATCCTTAGATGTTGTGGCAAACGAGATAAGCGTCAAGAAGGCATTAGATGCGACGACTTATCAACCATTAATAGTTTAGAACTATTAGCAATTGGATTGCTTACCTTGAAATAATAAGTGTTAAAACAAGCCCAATCATGCTTAATAACTTATTGATTTTGGGGGTCTTGGAATCGTCTTATCAAGCATATAGGACAAATTTATTTTGAATAAAACGTTAATAAGTTGATTGAAATTGCTAGTTAGCATGTATTTCAAATCATATTATGTTATCTTGATAAATGGTTATACTTTGCACATATATTTGTAGAATTCTAAATCGAACTATATTGTTTCCAAATGATTGGTAAGGAAATCTTTTGAGAATGCTTCTCAAAGAAAGAAAAGGCATTTCTAAAATACAACTTCTTATAAATGACTTTTATGGCTAAGTCCGAAAGGATGGTTGGACATCATGTATTCAAAATACTAGGTAGTTTTGATAAACATGAAATATTAAGTTGAGAACTCAATTTGTCAATAGTTGACAAGCAACATATCTTTTTTTGTTATACACTAATGAGTAGGACTCATTGATGTAGTAATTCAAGTACAAACTAATGGAAAAGAACTTTGTTTTATGGCGCATTAGATTCTTAATTATTCCTAACAAAGTATAAAATTCAAAACACTTACAGAAATAGTTCTTAAATTTATGAGATAATGCATGATAAGAAATATAGGAAACGAGGAAGAAAGAAAAAGGAATTCAAGATTCCAATTCTACTTCAGAGTTCATGTTATAGTAGTTAACTTAGCAGCTTATCTTCCCAAGTATTGGATACTGCTTGAGTGTTCTGTAGGGATTTAGGTACTCTAAGCGGAATTTCATGAATCATATTCATACGCACCTAAAGTCACGATCGCATGCATAACACACAAGAATCACATAATTATACCTTTGAAGCGTGATTTCCACGTAGCGAATTGA